ATTCAGGGTCCCCCTAAGGGCATCTAAATTTTAGGTACAATACATGGTTTGATTTCAGAGTTGTCCAACACTTCATGTTTTAGAAGTCAGCTCCTGGTGATCCCTGCTGCTGTGAGCCTACTTTGTGGCAGCCAAAGGGTCACAGTCTCCAGAGGTTAGGCCTTGACCTCGAGCTGTGTCACACCATTGATTCTTTACAAAACCCTCCAGTGATCTGAAGAGCAAACTCCTGAGTTTCCTCCTTTTGGGTGTGTTTCTGAGGCTCACTGTTGGTTCTGAGGTGAGGTGGGAGCCCATGCTGTGCAGCAGCTGTTGGGGCTTGGCCGTGGCCCTGGGCCCGGCTGGGGCGGGAGCTCCCTGCGAGGGCTAAGGACAGTGAAGCTGACACGCTCATTGCTTGGAAGCCTGCAGTGTCCAGTGCTGGAAGTGAGTCAAGAAGCACCAAAGAATATATAGGTGTTGTCTTGGCTTAAACTTTTACTGCCTGGTGTTAGTGCTCCCATGTTTCATTTCTTACGGCTGTAAGAAAACATGAAATTTGGAGGCAGCAGAAGCACTAACACCATCAGCACACACACAGGCAAATGTTGCCACACAAGACAAAGGCAATTGCAAGCCACACGGGAGCAGATGGGGTTCACAGGCTATTTTGCTTTCAAAATGAAAAGAAATAGAGGTTTTTAGACTGCAAGTTAGATAAAAGCAAGCTTAGCTATAAGGAGAGAAGCTGCCTCTTATTTCATTCCTCCTGAATTCAAGAGAACAGGGGATTTTGCATTTGTCTCCAGAAACAGATTTACATCACAGATTCTGTGTGCTTCATCAAAGCCTTTGCTGAACAGAAACAATACACACAGTCCTCTGCTTGGTCAGCTGGAGTGTAAAAGGGTAAGTGCTCTGAAGGTTTCCAGCAAGGAATTTTTCAAGCTGGTGTTGCTGCATAGCCAAAGCAGAAAAAATAATGGAAGAGAAATAATAGCATGTCTGTGTAAATCTGAAGAGGTTCACACCTTATGGGACAAGACAGCATATATTGCATATATGGAGAGGATTTCATTAGGAACATTTGGACTGTTCCTGTAATTATGGAAAAGCAAATAATTGTCTTTGAAAACTCCCCCAGGACAGCTTGACATCAAGTAGTGGTGCAGAATGATTAGGAAGATGGACAGGAGAAAGGAAGGGATTTTCTATCAGACGGGTACCAGGTTCCAGATCTTGTAGTGCTGCGGGTTTATCCAGACACGAATGTGCCTTATCACTGCTAGCAAGTGAAGTCAAACTGAGACCTTAAAAAGGGGCGGGGGAACCCTTTGCCTGAAAACACTGCCCCTTTGCCCACAGAGGCCCCACACAGTTCCTGATTCATGCAGGTGCTGGACAACTCCAGGTAAATTGCTTGTGAATTAGTGTGTAGATTCCTTGCTGAAATCAGTCCGGAGATCATACTCAGGAAAGCTAAATGAGAGAATACAAAGAGGTGTGGAACCTGACCAGAGAGCCAGAGAGAGAAAACAAGAAGGTGATCAGCATGCAGGTGAGTATGTGTGATGGAAAAGGAGTTCCAGACTGATCTGTAATCTTGGAATATCTGAGAGGCAGAGGCCTTTTGGAATTCATCCACATTCTTTTCTGAAGATGAGAATTAAAGAGAGCCGTCATTGCCACCAGCTGTTGGCACAGAGCAGAGCTGCTGAGGCCAGAGGCCGTGGTCTGGGGCCTGGAGAAAGGTGCCACCGGCACGGGGCACTGAGCCGGCCGGGCCAGCACCGAGCCAGCTGCTCCAGTGCTCTCCCCTACCCGGTCTGAGGTCTGCAGCAGCCACACTGCATCCCGAGCAAACTCAAGCAGGAATCGCAGCTGTTGCTGCCAAGGAGGACTGAGCTGGGCGGTGTTTGGGGCAGTCCCGGAGCCAGTGAGTGTCGCTGACCGCAGGCAGGTGCGCCATGTGGCAGCCGTGCCCTTACCTGGACCCTCGGGTCACTCAGCAGGGCCTGCAGGGCAAATGGGAATGGTCTGGCCTTGCCTAGTGACACACTGTGGTAACCTTGTCATGAATTATCTCAGTTTCTGGACAAGAAAATGCATTTTGCAATGAACCTAGTGTGGCTGATGTGAAATCGAGACCAAAGAAAGGCGAGCTGTTTGCAGCAGGGGTCATTGGTTTTAGGGAGGTAGGAGATCTTTGGGACAATGGGAGCATGAGGATAGTGTTTTGGTGCTGAGTTTTTTTGGTCACACACACCACCCAAAGAGGTATTTTAGAGTATCAGCAGTGCCCTGTGGAACAGCAGCGGTGCAAGGGCTCTCGTTCCACCTGGCTCCTCCGCCACCGCCACTGCCCTGGCATGAGCTCATTCCTCCAGGAACATCCAAAGAGAAAGTCATTTTCGATATTGATACCAAGTGGCTGCTCATTAATACTTGTTTGTATTTGTTCTTTGTTTGACTGACATTAACTAACTTACAAGCTCCTGGCAGCTTACAAGTGCAGTAGCTGCTCTGGGACGTTATCACTGTTTACATACAGTCAAAGGTAACACAAGTTAATATATAGTCTAAGGGATATTTTTTCAATAAAAGTGTATGTCCTCTTGGATGGAGTTTGATTGCTGTGCCATGGGGGATTGAGCCTTGTGATGTCCGTGCTGTTTGCAGCTGCTGTGGGGCCAAAAACCTCTCTGCAGCTGTGAAAAGTCAGTGACAATAAGCTCCGTTTCAATGGCAGACAGTTTATAAACCACAGTGTTGCCTGTCAATGCACAACTCTTATTGACTCAGAAAGTTACATTTAACTTTGTTTTTTCTCACTTGCAAATTTTATTCCTCTCACATCCTGTGGCTCGGTGAATTTGCTACTGGTGCATACCCAGGAAATCCTATCAGCCCCTCAGAGATAAGGAGGAGCCCAGACAAGACAGGTGTTCCTGTTATTCCCAAAGTAGCAAATCTTTTACTTTGCTGGTTATTTCAAATACTATTTGCATCTAGATAATAACAAAAAAAGCATCTGATTATCCTAATTCAATAAGTGTCTTACTGATTTTGGGTTTTGTGCAGCATTTCAAAAGAAGTATTTCACTATCATAATTAGATGATACATGTACCTCTGTCTTTTCTGTCCTGCCAGAAGCCACATAGAATGTAACTGGAATAAAATGAAATATCTCAAATGTAATTGATTTGGTTGCTCATGTGCTCAAGACCTTACTTCACCTGACTCCTATTAGCAGACTTCAGACCCTGCTCTGCATTCGCAGCCACAAACAAATCTGTGTCAGCATGTGCAGCTCAATGCACAGCTATTGCTCAATGGCAACTGTTGCTGAACTTTTCTAATCATAAAGAAGCAATGCATATATTCTTTCTCTCCTTTGTTTAGAAGAATTCAAAGTAATAATAAGTCCTCAGAAGAGTATTCAAATAATTGGGGAAAACAGTACACATCTTTAGCACTCATTGAAGTACAAGCATGTAATAGCTCAGCCCACACATCAAGAGATGCACTCAGGGACTAAAGGATGTTCAGGAACCAGGGGTGTGTTGCTCAGTGAAGAGTGAGCCGCAGTTGTCAGCCGAGTGGCAAGCAGCAGTGCAGCCAGAGCTGCTCAGTGTTTCCCTGTGCACGGGGTATGGTAGGTACGTTACAGACCATTGCCCGTTTACGTCTGTACACAATTGTTTTGACGTCTGTGTCCCTTTCTGCTGTAAGGATGCAGAACACCTTGCTGTGTGGTGTATATGCAGGGAGCAGGTGTATTCTGAAGGTGTGTTATGCTGTAAATCATAAGCATTGCCAAGTTTAGAAGAAATTGTAGGTTTGCCTCTTGTCAATACAAAAAACATTCCCTCGTAGCTATGCGTAACAGGGCGTTGTCACTATATTCCAAGGGCATTGTCAGGAGAGTTGTTGCTATGTTGTACAATTCAATACACATAAGTGATTGTGAGGGATTTTTTCAGAAGTACGAGAAAGCATCTACCTGTGTGGAGTACGGGAAAACAGGAATGGGATCCTGCTGTGTTTGATGGGGAAAGGCTGGATGCTGAGCTCTCTCGGCTCAGAGCACAGCTCTCCTCCAAGCTTTGTAACCAAATCTTGTTTCCTAAGAAAATTTTTTAAAATAAATAAAGAAGCTATGTAGAATTTTGATATCTGATTTCCCCTCTTCTGCCCTTGTTACAAGTGTGCCTCTGAGGGAATACCCAGCCAAGAACAGTGGGTTTTCATAGCATTTTGATTTTTCTTTACTAGCAACAAAAAAATCCTTCATGAGCAGACTTGCCTATAAAGGCATATGGTCCCGAAAGTTTTCTGCATGGGTGACTACGACTGTGTAGAAATTGAAAGGAGGAGGAAAAAAGGAGTGCTCTAGCTTGTATAAGAAATGAACCTTTGCCCAATCACTTTTGTCTGTGAATAAGGTAACTTTTTGTGTGTGTGAAATTTGAAAGCAATAAGGTATGTGGGTCCTTTCTCTGTATTGCTTCTCAAGAGCCGATCGCAGGGTTTTCTTTTGGAGCTGGCCTGAAGTTGTGAGATAAAGCAGCTCAGGGAAAAAAATGTTCTCAAGCAGATGCCTTTAAGAGACAGAAATCATGAATTTGTTGAATTGCAACCACTCTGGGGGTGGCTACAATGACTTTTTGACAGTGACAGTAACTCTGCCGTGTCTTTTCGAGCCCTTCTTTGGCCCATTCACTCTGGAAAGCTGCTTAAGCGCACTTAAGCGCATTAGCATTTGGATGCTCGGGGGCCGTATTGACCCTCATTTGGAAAGTTTAAATGAGTGAAAGATGGAGCGATTTGTTAGGGCTTTAGAAACCAGCTTTAGAGAGTGGCGGGTTTTCCGCTCTGGTTTGTTCGGGTGCTTGTTCTAATCTGGTGTGCTGTTTGAAGGGACCAGACTGATTTGTGACACATGAGCCCAAAGCGCTCTTTTTTCGGGCTTGACCCGATTATCTGGTCTGTGCTCTGAATTTCAATCGCTGCGTCGCAGGGAGCACCGGCAGGAATGAGTCGCTGCTGGATTACCTCCCGAGCTCCGCGTGGACACAGATGGCAGAATGGTCATGGCATGTCCGAGTGGGCAAAGGCGTCGTCCGGCAGGACTGGGTGGGTGCGAGGGACAGGTAGGAGGGCTGTGCATGCAGTCAGTGGTCCCAGGAGCGCGGCCCCACAGCGGTGCGGCGTGCCACTCCTCCTCCTGGCACTGCGAGTTTAACCAGCCACCACCACCATCTTCCCACTCCTCCTCCTGGCACAGTGAGTTTAACCAGCCATCACCACCATCTTCCCACTCCTCCTCCCAGCACTGCAAGTTTAACCAGCCACCACCAGCATCTTCCCACTCTTCCTCCTGGCACAGCGAGTTTAACAAGCCAACACCTCCTCCCAGCACTGCAAGTTTAACCAGCCACCACCAGCATCTTCCCACTCCTCCTCCTGGCACAGTGAGTTTAACCAGCCATCACCACCATCTTCCCACTCCTCCTCCCAGCACTGCAAGTTTAACCAGCCACCACCAGCATCTTCCCACTCCTCCTCCTGGCACAGTGAGTTTAACCAGCCATCACCACCATCTTCCCACTCCTCCTCCCAGCACTGCAAGTTTAACCAGCCACCACCAGCATCCTCCCGCCCTTCTCCTAGCCCTTCCAAAACAGTGCCTTAAAATCCTGCAGGGCAGATGAGGCTCTCCAGGACAGCCTGTGCCCATGGGGCGAGTGAAACCTGGGGGCAGACACCTGCAGCCCCCCTGGTGTCACAGCTGTGTTTTAGGGCAGACCCGGACTCTGAGATGTGTAATCTGTGGATGTGGCGCTGCTTTTGGGGAAGGAGTCAGGAAATGTCTGTCAGGAATGGGTATCTTTCATTCAGTGAGATGAGGAATTGGCACCTGTTCCATTCACAGACTTGAAGAAAAAGATCAGATTTTTGGATTTTTACCAAATGACACTCAAGTTACCCTTGAAAAATGAAATTGCTCAGCTTGCTGCTATTGGCCTGTACTGTGGCAACACGCAGGATCCTTATCAAAGATCACATCTTTTATCAAATGGCAGCAAAATGTCCACTGACAGCTTGTTCCCTTTCTGGCACTGGTGACCGTAGCTGAGGTCTAAAGCATTTGGAAGCAGGTGGATTTTTGTTTAAATACATGTTTGGCATGTATTTCTGCCTTCAGGAGAAAGGGAGAATGGGGAAGGGAGAAGCGAGCTGTGGGTTCATGACATTGTGGCTGATAGATCCTGCACCTCTGAGCAAGAATCCCATTATCAGGTATTTCTGTTTGTGAGAGGAAGAAGCATGTAGTAGGATGTGAAATCCTATTGCCCTCTTACCATGGAATGTATCTCTTTTACAAGTGATAATTATGCAAAATGAAAATCTGTTGTCTGGGCATTATGAAAAGGAATGGAGCAGGCAGAGCAGGGAAGTCAATCTTTGCCTCCCCTTGACTGAGTTATTCTCTTTAGCACACTTCTGTTAGGAACCTCTAGCAGTGTAAGGTTTCATTTGGGGCAGTCTTTGACAGTATCTGTATCCAGGGCTGTGCATGGATCCTGTCAGCACTTGTACCTCAGCTGCAGCTGAAGATGCTGAGCTGCCTCATAGGTGTGGGGGCACATCTCTGCCTTTGAGTAATGCCAAGGTATCATCAGTTCCCCTTTCTGACTTCTGCCTTGTGGTTCCCAGCAGCCAGGCAGAGGGGCCGGGGTGCCAATGCGCAGCGCTCAGCGTGCGGGGCAGCCTGCCCACCCTAGCCCACAGTGAGGATGGAGTCTATCCCTGCGTTTCAAAGCACTTCACATACTTAAAGCTTCTCTAAAAGTATCGGTGCAGTGAATCTAAAGTATGCTTTTAAGTTAAATTTATGTCTAACTGCTTTGCTAAGAGCTCCAGATTTTCACCTGTTGCCATGCAGTAGAGCAGGCCCTTGGAACAGCCCATTGCCAATGAAGCTGGGCCCCAGCCAGGCAAGCGGCCAATGGATCGAGGCCCAGTGCTTCCATGGAAATCCATACCTCTGTGCCTGATAAAGTGTTGATTTATAATATGTTCTAGGCGCCCAGTCCTCAGAATACCTAGAGATGTGATGTTGTCACTTACAAGGATGACGCACAGGGGCTTTGCTATCTAAAGTGAAGTGTGAAACTTGCAGTCAGATTATGTAGGCATTGCTTGGACTTGTAAAGTGTATTTGGAACATGGATTTGCAGGGCAGATGTTTTTACAAACAAGAGTTAACCATCAGAACTGCAGTGCCAATGTATTTATCAGCTCTTAATAGGCAGCACAGAACTCGGCTGTAAGAAGTGGTTTGGAGGATGTTTACAAGTAATATGTGATACACCTACACCTGTAAAAGAACATGTGTGTGTGGTAAGAAGTTGAATGACTGTTTGCCTTCTCTGATTGTATCAATTTCTTAATATTGCCTGTTTCTCTCTAAATGGTAATTGAGTTTATTGTTTCAAGTCCATCAAGAGTGGAAGTTACTTAAATTAGCAATGCTTTGTATTTTGACCTACAGCAAATCATATTTCCAGGTGGGCACTGAAGATGCATCGATTGGTAGTGTTCAATTTAATCTGGCCTTCTGTTGCCTCTCAACTCATTCCCTTTCTCCCTTTGTGTTTTCCTTAGACACTATGTGCGAAGGCCACGATGCAGACCATCCGTGCAGCTGACACAAATGAAGTAGTCAAGCTAATATTTCGTGAATCTGATAATGACCGAAAGGTAAACAACTTAATGCCCTGAGTACCCTGTGCAAATAGAAACGGTGTTGAACGTTCAACTTTCTTTTCTACAAAGCATGAATATAGTTGTTCCACATTGATAATGTAAAGGGAGGGAAGGGCTATAGATTGTCACACCTAATGCCCAGTTAATTGGATCTGTTTAAGTGACTGCCAGCCAAGCAAATGGGCAGGCTGACAAGGGGCTTTGGACCTGTGGAAGTGTCGTGTGGTTTTAAAGGGCTACGTGTCTCCCAAAGGGTCACTGCCAGCTGCTGGGCCATGGGTAGCCGAGTCCAAGAGCTTTGCTGACCTTGCTCCTGTATTTTTTTTTAGGTTATGCTGCAGTTAGAAAAGAAGCTCTTTGACTATTTCAATCAAGACGTTTTTAGAGATAACAATGGCACTGCGGTAAGTTCATTGCTAAACACTTTTGAAGGACTAAGTTGGGAACTCATACAAATTGTGTTTCTCTAAGCAGCCCTTTATCCTTATCAGTCCTCCTTTCTGCAGAATGAGAAGATATAATTCATCCAACACAATAACTACTCCAGATTTTGTCATCACTTATTCGGTTATTTTGTGTACAGGCTCTTACCTTTGGCATGTTTACCTTCTTTTCCGTAGAAAATACTGTGAATTAAATGTACATGGCAATTCACTTTTCTTCACTGTCCTCCGGTCTGCATTTCTTCAAGCATCCTCTTTCCTTACTAGCTCTTTGTTGTGCACCACAGTAACTTAGGAAAAGCCCTTCATACCAAGCTGTTCTGAAAATATCTGGGTCTTCTGAGTGTACAAAATGTACTAGAAACACAAGGATAAGTAGAATAGAAAGCTCAAGCCCTGCAGCAGACTGTCACTGCTTGGGCAAACACAGAGGGCTTCCCAAGAGGGAGCCGACAGGGAGCACTAATGCTCTGATCTGTAATCAGGACTATGGCTTTTCTGTGAAGGGTGTAATTAGATCTTCTGTGGGGTGATTTTATTTCAAAGTGTAGCTGCTTCATTTTTGAAAGTCCATATATCACTGCTTGCAGCTTTCTCCGTTTCATCTAAGGTTCCTGGGGGTTATATGTCTAAAGGAGTATGTCATGGGCCCTAGTCCCCAGCTCCAGGTTAGCCGCACTGCTCCAGTCAGAGTGTCTCTGCTTTGTGCCCAGGGATGGAGTGCACACAGGGTCCATGACTCTCCCTCTCCTCTCCTCTCCTGCCTACAGCTCATTCTCTCGCCATTCACGGGGAGCTGGGCTGTTAGAGGGCTGCAGGGAAGGCTCTAAGGCAGGGAGGGCAGCCGGAGCCCTAGTCCCCTCTCTGGTATAAAGCTGACTTCACCTAGGAGATCAGCTCTGTGTGAAAATCTGAGACCTCCCTCATTTGTGGGGGTGAGAAGACACGCGAGGGATGCGACGATCGGGTCCCCTGGGAGCGCCTGCCCTACCCCTTGTGCAGACTGTGCTCGCCGCGAGGGTACTGTGTGCCTGCCTTCAGCACAGCTGCTCTGAGAGCAGGGGCTTTGGGCTGTACTGGCTTTACATTTACAAGGTGAATGCTTCCTTGGGTAATATGTAATGTTTCTTTCACTGGTGTTTTGCAGTTTTGGGGACATTTAATTCAAAGCTCTAACTCTCTCAATTCCTGTTTTCATACTAATCTTGTCCCAGATTTTCCTCTACATGTATTATTGCAACTTTTTCAGCTTTTTCTTAAAACAACCCAAGTGTCTGTTGTTCGTATTTTGCCCCAGGACATTCCTGAAGCTGAGCAGAGCTGTGCTTGGTGCTGCCACTTGCCACGTCCTAGTGTTACTTCAGACAGCTGCTGGTTGGCTTTGCATCCAGGGCCGTGGGGTGTGAAGGCACAGGCCGAATCCCACTTAAACACATTCCATTTCAAAATCAGGAGTCATTTCATTCATGCATCAAGAAGCAGGAAATCTTCTAGATCAAACATGGAAGGAAAAGATAAATGATATAATGAGCCATTGGAGATAATCTAATCTTCATGGTCTAGTTAAACACGCAGCACCATGATCACTAAAAACAAACTACCTATCTAAAAGGATAAATGTCTCTGTGCCGAATTCAACCCAAAAAATCCATCGCATCCTTCATCAACCGCCGGTCTTGTACCAGCCTGACAGAAATTTAATTCAAGCTGGCTCCTGAAAATAATTATTGTATTTTAAGAGTAGTAATCATTGGTCGGGACATGATTGAATGTGTCCATGCCTATTGACTTTTTCTATGATTTATAGCTTTGTTTAGTCGATATTCCCATCGAAATTGTATAATTAATTATAAGTGGGGCTGTCAGATCTGCAGGATGGAGTGCCCTGATGAGTATTTGGGAAGATTAAATTTTCCTTAGCTGTACCAATGCAAGGCTTGGGAATTTTCACAGCACTGTGGCTGTTGGATAAAGATGTTTTCTGTGTGTTTAGCAACTGCTTTAGCTCAAAATCCATTGATTTTTCTGAGAGTATGTTTTTTATTAGTGCAGTGTCTCTCAGTAACATTGTGTACGGAGGTGACAAGACCTGACAAATATTTGTTATCAACAGCCTACTTTATCATTGTCCATACACAGTTATTCCTTCCTTTTTACATTGTAATCAACAAAAAGCATCTTAAGATATATTTATAAAAATTATTATTTTTATGATAAATCTGATATAGATACAAATTACCTGTTTAACAGAAATTCGGTTTAAAATGCATAGTAATCTGTCAGGTCTAATTTTTCCAAACTAATTTGTGGCTTATCCAGACTTACCTGTAGCTTATGCCACTGTTAGCTTAGCAATTACTTGTATTGATTACCTCAGAGTGCAAGGACCGTTCAGTGTCGTTGTATTTCAGAAAGGAACCCCCAGATTTATCCAGCTCTGTGGTGACAGGAAAAAAGATAAAACCTGTTTGAAAACAGCTGTAGCAATAATGTAAAGCTGTCTTAATATTTGATTCGTATGTTCTGAGTTGTACGTCAGAGCTGTGGCCCATCAGACCGACCAGACTGTGACTCCATCACCACACAGAGCTGTGCTGTGTGGGTGTGCACTAGGAAAGGTGGGACAGGAGGAGGTACAGCATGTAGAGCTCCACCTTGGCATCAGGCAGATGCCACTGTAAGTTGTTGCTTTTCATTTAGCAAAAGCTCAGCACCTCTGAGCTCAGTAGGACAGTCAGGCTGTGCTGATCAGCTCTATGGTGTCCTCCTGCTCTGGGGGCTTGACCATGGATGCTGGCAAAGCACGAATGAAGCTTCTCTCATCTGCTCACACCTTCCCAGAGGCAGCAGCCCCTAGCTGGGAGCCACACCATGTCCCCACTGCCCCTCTATGCTCCAGCCCAGAGCACACGACGGGTCCCCATGTGGGGGGCTCAGGGCCCCAGTCCCTTGCATGGACTTCCCCACCAGGTCTGTGGTGCTGCCCACACTCCTGACCTCACCCTAGCTCCCCAGTATGTCACTCACACAAAATTTGGTTGTAGCTTTGGATTTACCGGCCCTTAGGCGATAAAAATCAGCTGCTAGAGCTTTCAGGAGAGGAGCAGTGTGCAGGGGGTTCCTGAATAAACCTGCACTTAACTGTTTATGATAGATCAGGCTGTAAGTGGGAGGGTTTTCAAAAGGAGTTCCCTGTTATTTTCAAAACAATCAAAAAAAAAAAGCAATCCAGGGTAATTATTTAATGAAAAAAATATAATCATATTATTGATTCGTACCAAAGAACCACAAGCGAAATTGTAGTTCTTCAATAGTCAATTAAATAAATTATAGCAAGAATGTAAAAACCTGTAATGACTACAGAGGAATGATTTAATCATTTGGAATCATCTGATAGTCTGTAACCACGATCAGAAATGAGGAATGGTGCCTACATTCCTGTCTGTCCTGTGATTTGCATCAAAGGATCAATCCAAGTGGAAGTTAGTGCACTATCCTTAAGATTTGGACCACAACGCTGTAATGAAAGTAATCAGTGAATTAATTGTCTTAAGAGTGGAACCTGATGTTATTCATGCTGAAATCCTCTTTTGCCCATTGATGTTTGTGGAAACTGGTGACTAATGGTGAAGCTGTGCTTGCTCTAGTAGTCCTGCATCCTGCTGGTTCTGGGTCCTGGTGTTCCTGTGCCCTGCTGGTCCTCCATCCTGATGGCCCTGCTGGTCCCATTCCCTGCTGGTCCCATGCCCTGCTGGCCGTGCCCCAGCCCGGCCGCTGTCCATCCCTGGGCTCAGCTCTTGATGTTTGTGGAAACTGGTGACTAATGGTGAAGCTGTGCTTGCTCTAGTAGTCCTGCATCCTGCTGGTTCTGGGTCCTGGTGTTCCTGTGCCCTGCTGGTCCTCCATCCTGATGGCCCTGCTGGTCCCATTCCCTGCTGGTCCCATGCCCTGCTGGCCGTGCCCCAGCCCGGCCGCTGTCCATCCCTGGGCTCAGCTCTTGGGCCAGAAGGGTTAGCCCAAAGGTGCTGCTACACACAGCTCCAGGATCACCAGTGGTGCAGAGGACACGGGTAGTGCACCAGCATTCATTCCAAACCAGATCTGAGAATGAACGAAAAGCTTTGTGATTTCCAGCCTGGATTTTCATGGAATGGAAGTGGTTCCATTTCTTACTCTAATTGCCCAGCAGTCCTCTGGATGCAGAGAGCAAGCAGTGAATTCCTATGGAGAGCAAGTTCTTACTCAGTTTCTGTTTTGAACAGGGAACTCCCTTCACAGAATAAATTCCCTTTATTCTGTGTGTCTGTTCAGCTTCAACTGATATGGTATGAGAAGAAAACTGTAACATGCTGTAAAAACTGATTGAGTTATAATGGTCTTGTTCTCCCTCTGCTAAGTAATGACTTAAAGTGATCTGTATCCTGCTAATTAACTTGGAGGTGTTACTGCAAACAGTTCAGGCAAACATACTTTTAAAATATAATTAATTTATTTCTGGGGTTTTTTAGTATTCCCAGGAAATCCTGACGTGGCATGCAAATGGAGCAGAAAGGTTTAGTCCATGAGGGACCTCTGTTAAGCTTTTTGCGAGGATATGTGTGCTCATGGAGGTTACGGATCCGACGTCACTGAAAATGTATTAATCAACAGCCAAGATATAGCACAATGCACTCTTCCCAATGGCCTTGGCTCTGACCCTTTTAAAGATAATGGGAATACTGTCCACTAGGAACTAGATTAGGACGATCAAGTGCATTTCATCAGGGTTTGACTTGAACCATGATCCCAGAGGTGAAAAGGCAGAGGTTTATCCACTGAGCCAACCAGCCCCTGTCCAGATAAAATCTTGACTATGATGTATAAGGGCAAATTAGGATAGAGGAAGGAAACTGATTGCTTAGGACCATTGCTACCTCGGACTGGCCATAAGAAGTCCTGCACATCCTGAAACTGCCTTTTTT